CCTTGGTGGAGCTTAAGAGATCACCTGATGACAAGAGAATTGACTCATGAGCAGTAAAACTGAATCACAATCTGATTCCTAACAGAAAGAGTGAACACTAAATTACATCAACACTTAACAGTCACACCATCAAAGATGACGTAGGGATGTTACTAAAATGGTGTTACTGAGGTGCACTTTGCAAGAACTTTCCATGGCAATGTTACTTCAACTAAAAATATATTAAAGGGACTTTATTGGAATTCCTGGATAAATTAGTCAAGCCTAAATATTATTTTACATATATATGCCTGATTCTCTTTACACTATATTGCATGAAAGAATTCTGTAAAAAAAAATAATAAAATAAAAACAGCATATGCACTACTGAATGTTTCCTTTTGAAAAGTTAGCCCAGTGAACTGAAAATATTCTGCTAAACCTGGAACTATGTGCTTTATCCGTTTAAAAGAGGTAGGATGAAAGATACTCAGCAGCATCTCAATCATATCCAAACCTCGCCTGAATCTAGAAAGAGCTATGGAGCTGAGCCTCTCTCAAGTATATGTTAAAAATCTGAAAACAATTTTAGGAAACTCATGAGAAATCTTGAATTCCGGACCTTTGTCTAAGCAATAAATGCTAGGAGACAAGTACGTGAAAGAACTACATACATTGTAATATGTATATAAGGTCTGTTTGGGAAAAGTCCAGCCATCATTAATGTAATGAGGACAGTTTTTGCGACACAGATGTAACCTGGCAGCCAAGAACAGTGGACTGGAATGTGCATGTGTGAACAATGATGACTTCTCTGTACTAGTCAGTGGGGGCAGTAGCTGCTGTTTGACTGAGCATGTGTACTGTGTGGTCATTGCATTCAGAATGACTGAGCAAGTCATTTTGCCTCACATGTGACAGCATCAAATTCTGCATTAACCTTGAACATTCTCCTTGGAAACTGTTCGGATGACTCAGAAGGCCACAGCTGTGGGCAACTGGTGATTGGCAGCTTTATCACAACAATGTACCCACACGTGCATCACGTGTTGTACAGATTTTTGTGAAAGCACCATATCACCCAGGTGACTCAGCCCCCATACAACCCAGATTTGGCGCCCTGCAACTTCTGGCTTTTCCTAAAACTAAAATCATCATTGAAAGGGAAGAAATTTCAGACCATCCACGAGATTCAGGAAAATACAAGAGGGCAGCTGATGGCAACTGGGAGAACTGTGTGAGTTCCCAAGGACCCTACTTTGAAGGGGACTGAAGTGTCATTGTCCTATGTATAGTGTTTGTTGTACTTTGTATGTTCTTCAATAAATGTCTCTATTTTTCATGTATATGGCTGGATAGTTTCTGGTCAGACCTCATATTTGATACTCACGTAAGCATTATATTGATATTAAAGGTGTAATTTCTTTTTAAAATATATGTAGGTGTACTCTCCCTCCTGGGAGAATACCCACGCCTTTCCCTCCCCTCCTCCTCCTCCTCCCAGAGGCAAGCATCTCCTGAACTCTAAGGGACCCTACAAGACTGGTAACCAGGGGAGCAATGGGTAGTAGCAGTTCATCCCAGACTAACGCCCTGAACCTGTCTCCCAGGCCTTTTCTCTAACTTCTCAGAGAGCCAAAGGAGCCCTGCCCAGGCTCATTTTTTCACTGTAACATTCCTAGAAAAACAAAGTAGCTCTCCCCAGACTCCTTTCTTTCCTGCAACATTTTTAGAGAACCAAAGGGGGTTGGCCTAGACTCTCTCCTGCTGCTGCTTCTATCCTAAGCCCTTCCTTGTTTTACTGTCCCCAACTTTACTAAACATATTTTCAAAATCAAAAATTAAAAATTAAAAGGTATATTAAAGTGGAATTCCTTTATGATTACTCAAATGCATTTTTACCAGTTCCTCTTAAAGACCCCACACATGAACTTGTTGGCTACTCAGACTCACTGTCTCTGAGCCCCAGCACCAGGGCGGCAGCTAGAAAGACACCAGTGGCATATGGGAGAAATTGAAGTGTCTGGCATTGAGGTGAGCAGATGCTACCATCCCTTTTCTGAACCCTCAACCCACAGAGCTGGCAAGCTGGTGCCACATCTGAGACTCCATCAACCTGGCTAACACTGTTTAAATCTGCCTTGGACATTCTCAGAGACCCCACCCCATGCAAGTTACTTTTCCAACCCAACCTGCTTTTCCATACAAATGGCTGGTCTTTTCTCATGCTTCACAACTTCCTAAATCCTCTCAAACAAGCTCCAGCTGGCCTCAGTGAGACATAGGCCTGGCACTAGCAGCAGCCAACCTAGATTCAAAGCATGGCGTCACCTGGGAATCTCCAAGCCCAGCATAAGTAGCAGCCATCTCAGACTGCTTTATAGCTCAGGCAGGGTAGTCACCAGCAAAACACAGGTGGGGGCTGACCTTGGCCTGCACCACCTGGGAAACCCCAGAGCCAGCACACCCAGTGGACAGCTACAGACCACACTGGAGCACCACCACCACCACCCTGCACAGGTGATCCTCCAAAGGGGGCTGAGGTTGGTGGTCAGTGGTCACAGCCAGTCCTTGTAGCTGACTGGCCTGGGTAAATCCCTCCCACTGATCTGCCAACAGCAACCAAGGCTCAACTACAAGAGGGTGTACTCAGCCCATGCACAGGGAAAACCTCGACTATCAAGCTTGGGTGATAGGGGATGATGTGCCACTGGACCCTACAGGACACCTAGTACGTTAGGCCATTCTACCAATCCATGGAGTTAAAGCAGCTCTACCTAATACATGGAAACAAACATAGGCTGCCAAAATGAGGAGACAAAGAAACATGGCCCAAATGAAGGCACACATCAAAATTCCAGAAAAAGAGCTAAACAAAATGGAGATAAGGAATCTATCAGATGCAGAGTTCAAAACACTGGTTATAAGGATGCTTAAGGCACTCAGTGAGGATCTCAGTAGCATAAAATAGATCCAGTCAGAAACAAAGGACACACTAACTGAAATAAAGAACAATTCACAGGGAAACAACAGTAGAATGGATGAAGCTGAGAATCAAATCAATAATTTGGAGCATATGTAAGCAAAAAAAAAAAAAAAAAACACCGAACAAACAAACAAAAAATCCAAAGACAAAACAAACAAAAAAACCAATCAGAATATTATGAAGAAAAAAAAAAAACGAAGATAATATAAGCAGCCTCCACAAAAACCTTAGGAGGCCCAACATTCGCATCACAGGGGTGACAGAAGAAGAGAAAGAGCAAAAAACTGGAAATCTGCTTGAAAGAACAGTGAAAGAAAACTCCTCTAATTTGGTGAAGGAAACATATGCAAATCCAGGAAGCACAGAGTTCCAAACAAGATGGATGCAAAGAGGCCTACTTCAAGACACATCAATTAAAATACCAAGAGTTAAAGATAAAGGGAGAATCTTAAAAGCAGCAAGAAAAAAGAAATTAGGTTTCCTACAGGGGAGTTCTTGTTAAGACTTCTCTCGATTTCGCAAAAGAAAATCTGCAGGCAAGAAGGGACTGGCAAGACATATTCAAAGTCATGACAAGTAGAGACCTACAGCCAAGATCGTTCTACCCAGCAAAGCTACCATTTAGAATCAAAGGGCAGATAAAGAACTTCCCAGACAAGAAAAAAAACTAAAGGAGTTCATCCTCACCAAACCAATGAAACGTTAAAGGGACTTACTTAAAAGGATCAAAACTATAAAAAAATAAAACAGCAAAAAACACGCATCTATCAACAATTGAATCTAAGAAACAAACTAAGCAAACAACAAGAACAGAGACAGAATCACAGATACAGAGAGCGTTTTGATGATTGCCAGGTGGGAGGAGGTGTGTGGGGGAATGGGTGAAGAGGTGGGGGATGAGTACAACTACGTACTTTCAGAATAGCCAAGAAGATGTACAGTACAGTATATGAAGGAAATGGAGTAGCCAAAGAACTTATATACATGACCCATGGACGTCAGCAATGGTGGGGGGACTGCCTGAGAGAGTAGGGGTGCTGTGTGGAGGGGGACACAGGGAGAGATATCAGACATCTCTCCCTGTGTCCCCCTCCATAATAGCATCATCAATAAAATATACTTTAAAATTTTTTAAGTAATCACAATATATTCTTAAGTGAATAGATGTTAATTTCAATTTTGGGGGGAAACAAAACAGATATACACACAACAAGGAGGAAATATACCTAAATGTTAATTATCTGGGTGGAATGCAACTGTAGTCAATTTTCAGCTTTATCCTCTGACTATCTCCCAATTTTTCTACAATGAGTCTATACTATTTTTATAACAAAATATTCATTTTTGAAAAAAAAACAAGAATTCAACACAGTTTCAGTATATGTACCCAACATTAATTCCTGCACAACAAAGTACTTTTGTTTACACTGGTGAGTTTTACTGGCCTGTGCCCAAACTGCTTTGAGCCCCTGAAAAAACTCCCTTACACTTCCCAGTGGTAAATTCTACACCCCCACCTTTATTTTCCATCCTGCCCCCTCTCAATTTTCTATCACTAAAATATAATATTCTCATAAAGTATACACAAGATATGGGCAGACAAAATTTGACACGATTATTTTAGCCACAGACTCTATCTTGGTACAGCTTGTATCTATTTTCAGCACAAACTTGCCTCATGCCTGAGACCCACGTCCTTGCTAGCTGGACTATGATTCATTCTCAAGTTCCACATTGAAACCATATGCTTAAAAATAACTGACAGTCTTTCCTACTTGCTTCTCCTTTGGATTTTGTCTGAACAACCCTATTATAAATCTTGTTCCACAGACCCTCTTTATGCAAATCAGTTTCTACAAACTACAACTTTGTTGGCTCACAGTAAAATTCCTACAACTTTTATGAACTGAATTTATAAAACCTAAGGAAAAAACCTAACTCAAAATTACTGCCAGTAACCAAGGCTGTAATGCCAAAACCTTCATTTAGTATTCTTGTAAATTCCAGCATCAGACTATGAGACAGCCACGCTAACCTTGGTTCAGGTACGTGAGCGTTTCGTCGTGCAGCTTCACTGCTGGTGATGTTGCGGCACACATCACATACTGAAAGGGCGGGTTTTTGGTTTCATCATCCAATGGAAGGCTGGAATCTTCCTGCTTGAAAATGGGCAATGCCAAGACATCACTGAAAAGCAAAAAAATAAACAAATCAATCGACACCGAGCTTGCTTTGGGTTTAAAATATTCAAAAGCATATAAAAATGTTGAGGAGTAGTTTCTTTTTAAATTTAAGGTACAAAATGATATGTAAAATAAAAGTACCACTAATGCTAATCTGGCTTCTCCAAATGACATCTCTAGTATCTCTAGTGTGGCAGTGGGGAGAAGGAGGGCAGCTATGGTTAGGTACATAAAAGTATTTAATAGTTAATAAAGTCTATGCTACTGATAAAGAAACTGGGCTAACAATAAAGATGGTACTTTTAAAAAAGTTACTTCAAAACACTTAAAAACATTTTAAACTGTATTGTTTGTATATATAAAAAGAAAAAGCCAGTGAGGAGTATGGAGCTACCTGTTTTGAAAGGCAGGAACTACTATTGCTGCCAAAGGTAGGTCACATTAGCACCATGAAATCACAAAGAAGCATTTGATTAAAATGGTACTTTACGAAGTTTCCTGCTAGGCCTGGCAACTGCTGAGAGCATAAGGCTTCTTACTTTATCTAGAACAATGGCTTCTTCTGAGAAGCGAATAGCAGTAAAAACAGCTAGTATTTTTTTCTACCAAGAATAACATGGGGCTGTGATTGAGAGGGGAATGGGGCGGGGGGGTTCTGGGACACTGTCTGTATTCCCTTAACCTGGGAAGACATTGGTTTTCTTTAAAAAAAAAAAAAAAAAAGCAGCTGAGATATAATAGTATTTTTTTAATCCTCACCCATGGCCATTTCTTTCTTTCTTTCTTTCTTTTTTTTTTTTAGAGAGAAAGGTTGAGAGACAATGCGAGAAGAAACAATCAATTGATTGCTTTCTATACGTGCCCTGACCAGGGGTCCAACCCACAACCTAGGTATGTGCCCCGACCTTTCAGCTGAACCACGGCCTTTTGACTATGGAGGGGCATTCCAACCAACCGAGCCACACCAGCCAGAGCTGAGATATAATTTACATATCATAAAATTCATGCTTTTTAAAGTGTAAATTCAGTGGGTTTTCGTATATTCAGAGTTGTGCAGTTGGCATCATCACTACTTCTAGAACATTTTCATCGTAATCTTGTACCTGTTGGCAGTTTCCCCCCTGCCACGTCACCTACCCTGACAACCACTAACCTACTTTGTCTCTATGGACTTGCCTATTGTGGACATTAAATGCAAACTGAGTCATGTAGCCTTTTGAAACTGGCTTCTTTTTCTCAGTCTGTTTTCAAGGTCCACCCATGTTACAGCACGTACCAGTACCTAACTCCTTTTTATGGCTGAATGATATCCCAATTGTATGGATATACCACAGTTTATCCATTCATCCAATGATGGACACCAGGATTGCTTCAAATTTCTGGCTATAGTGCATAATGCCGTTATGAACCCTTGCGTATGTTTTTGTGTAGACCTATGTCTAATTCTCTTGCGCATAAGAGGATGTGCGTATATACCAAGGAGTAGAGTTACTGGGTCATATGGTAACTGTTTAACTTTTTGACAAGTGCCAAGCTGTTTTCTACAGCAGCTACACCATCACACCCCCATCATTAATGTATGAGACAACTGACATAATTCACTAAGCTGTACATTTACAGTTTGCTAATTTTTCTGCTTGTTCCTCAATAAAAAGTAAAATAATAAGATATTCAAATGAGTAACTACTGTAACAATATCAAAGGCTTGTTTGAATTGCTCATTTCCCCTTCTGTTTTCTGCAAGCTGATGACTAATTCAGATATTTGGCTGGCTCATTTCAGGTTAACTGAATTTACAAATAAAATGTGGAAATAAATGAAATGGGAGGAAAACCCTGCATTCCCTCCTCCTCGCATTCATTTCTATTAGAGCACTAGACTGATTATTCAGAAACTAAATTACTACTAATTCTCCTCCTGTTTTCTTTATGCCTAGGAACTATAAAAACACTCCTCAGCACACAGCGTAACTAAGGAACACAGTCAAGCGATGGCCTCCAGCCCTCCTCTGGAGTTCTTCTCAACACTGACCTAGGGACTTTGATCCCACTTAAGTGGAACGGATAAAAAAACCTTGTGGCAGACACAAAAAATTTTCAGGAGACTTACAAAGACTCATAGCAGCTGTCTTTATGAGAAACAACCATAACAGTAAAAATGGCTGTCCACGAGATTAAAATATACACATTCCTATGTCACATATTTAAAGTCCTCTTTGTGAGAAAGAGAACGAGAGCTATGCCTCAGAAGTATTGGCTAATTATACTGAATTAGCTAGTTTGATACACTTAGAGCCCCCAAAGTGTACTTTTGAGTACTGTGACATTTGAGTAAGGTGACATGGAGAATAATTTTAAGGTACCAATGCTAACCACTTGGGTTGATCATTAAATGCATGTCATCAAGATAACCCGTAAGACTGCGTAATAGTAGCTATTTATAAATAAATGCACAAATGATAAATAACATCATATTTGTCTCAGACCCTAGATGGCAACCATTTTATTCACTTTGATAAGCCCGGAAGATCCACACAGGATATACTGTGCTCATGGTGGATGCTAATGATTTTTTTTAATCCTCATCAGAGAATATGTTTATTGATCTTAGAGAGATGTAGAGGGAAGCAGAGAATAGGGCAAGAGAGAGAGAGGGGCAGCTTGGGAGGGAGAAACATCGATGGGCCGTCTTCTGCCTGCCCCAACCAGGGACTCAGCCTGTAACGTTTCAGTGTACGGGAGGTCGCTCCAACCAACTACGCCAGCCAGAGACTAAATGCTTCTTAAACAAGTTCAACAAATAAGTTTGTAAAGATCATTTACTACTGAAATCCCAATTAATTTTTTACCTAATTAGAAAAATAATACATTCCAGTCAACACAGCAGCCAGAGCGATTCTCTTCCAACAGAAGTCAGATAATTTCGTCACTTTGACTCCATCAGCTCCCTTTCAACCAGGGTCCTTGCAAGGCCCTACTCAATCTGCTCTTCTCCTCCTGCCGCCCGAGCCGAATCAGCCTCCTTCCAGGTCTTCCTCAGGCCCTTCTGCACAGGCTCCACTCTCCTGCTGGTGTCCTACTGGCTCATTTAATTCAAATGTCAGCTCAGTGACAGCCTGAAGATTGCAATGCTCCCATCCACACCCCCAATTTCCCTTTCCCTATTCCACTTATCCGAAACGCCGGTCACTTCCAAACAGTATACATGACTTACATTTGTTCCCTCCACAGGTATACACTGTATTTTGCCATGTATAATGCGCTCTCGTGAATAATGTGCAATCATGTTTTTGGCCCAAACTTTCAGGAAAAAAAAGCTTTCATTTTAGGTTTTTAATTCAATTTTTAAGTTATTTATATTTAGATACATATTTGTATTGTAAAGGAATTTTGGCATTTATTTTTTAACATATTATGGTACAAGAAATTTCATGTAACAAGTAATTACAAAACACAAGAACAGATACAAGGTATTTCAGGTACCACCCATGTATAATGTGCATCCTTATTTTTCCCCTCAAAAATCTGGGCAAAAATGTGCGCGTTATAAATGGCAAAATGCAGTAGCCACACCCTCCCAAACTTGTTCCTCTTCACTGACTGATCCCAGTCTCCAGCACAAAGAAGGAAATCGACATCCGCTAAAACCAATGAACCAATAACAGCATTAATGATCAGTTATTACTAAAATAGAAAACAAGTTCTCCGGATAATTTAAGATCATAATTTCTACTAGGCTGAACCATAGAACTCCCAGTAATCTGACAAGCAAATGAAAAGCCTCAAGGCTTCAAACTGTTCCAAGTAAGTACCTGAAAATACTCAGGCACACAAAGTCAAACGAGACTCCAGGAACAAGAACCAACAACGGTAACAACAGACCCCACACATCCTTTTCCAGATTCTATCTGCTCTTTTTTGTCCCTGTTACAGAGTGAGAGGCCTGCAAACTACACATGGCAGCTGGAGTCTTGTTAGGTTGCTCCAAAGGGAAACCCTGGTGGAAAATTAAAGGGGAGCAGGAAAGGAACCAGGCAGGCGACCGCAAAGACTGCAGGTGCAGGAATTCCAGGGCAGCGACAACCACGCCTCCGGCTGGAGCAACCAGGTAGCAGGCCCTCCTCCCAAACCCTCTGGCACCTTCGCAATCGAACACTTCCCTCAACCTGTCTCTGCTTGAAACGAGTGGCTTGTATTTTTCTGATTGGACTGATATCCCCAAAGACTTAAGATGCTAGAATTATTGGACCCGCACTTTAAATTATGCTTGCTTTGTTCAAAAATATATAAAAGACAAGCTTGAAAAAATCTTCAAGGGAACAGTAAATTTTAAGGGGCAGCAAGACTGAAAAAAGTTACAGAAGCTTCTAGAACTAGAAAATAAAATTGCTAAAATTAAAAACTCAGATTTAACAGCAGCTCAGAGAGAAATGAAGAATAAGTAAAAAAACTGGAATATAGGTAAAAAGAAGTTACCCAGAAGACAGCACAGAGAGTCAAATGATGAAAAATGCAGAAGACTTCAAGGACAAAGGGAGATTTCACAATGACGGCCCAGTGAGGCCCTACCTAGCACTGTGGCAAGAAAGTGAAACGTAATGATTAACAGGAAGAAACAAACTTATGATGCCACCTAGAATAAGTTCAACAAGGTCCTGGAGGAAAGAAAGGCACGATACACAATGAGAAATACACACACACAACATTCCCAGCTGACTCTTCCTATGCAGAATGATCATATTCTAGTACCTTGAGAAAACTTCTGTTATTAATCGGCAGGTAGCCAAAGGGTGTCATGGACAGAAGTGGAGATGAAACCCCAGTTCTGGGGCTTCAAACCCCAGCTCTGCCACTTGCTGAGTGACACTACGGCCAGCTACTTAAATGGGTTTGTTTGTAACTTAGAATAAAATAGTTTAAGTATCAAAACTCTCAACACACATTAGATCAGAGATCCTTGAAGTGTGGTCGGTGTAATCCTGGGGCACCTGAGACCCTTTCAAGG